TGTACACATTATACCACATGGATATGACCAAATTGCCCAATCTAAACACAAAATAGAAAGGTATATGTGACTAAATCACGTAATAAAAATGCTAGTTTTACTTTCTTTGTCATTTGGAATGGGGATTAGAAGATATAGAAGATATTTATTTATGCTAATCACTCGTTGTTAATCATCTTATAAAGTTATTTTAATATGAAAAAAGAAAAATACCGAATCGAATGGTTCGAATTAGTTTGATTTAGCCGGTTTGAACAGTTGGGACATTTTTGTGCCCACCCTAGTTAAACTGCAATAATAAAAATTTGTGAAAGGCAATATACATAATGATGTGTATCACTTCAAATTCACTATTATGCTAATCAACAAGAAAGTTTTCAATTAGCGATGCTAATTAATAATTAAATAAGAGAGAGTACCCCACAAACACTCATTATTTTTTAAACCACAATCTTAACTCAAAAATAACAGCAGTAACAACTAAAATAGCAAGAACAGCTCCATAGCCAGCATTCCATGCCTTTCCTTTTTCTCCTAAATGAATTCCATAGAAAACATTTGCTATTGCCAAAATGAGGAGAATCCTCCCTACGCCTTGATGGTACCAATTCCAGTATTTTCGTGCTTTGGACTCCTTCTCTGGTCGAACCAAAAGGGCCATCACCTGTAATCAACAAACATCAAACCATCTAATGGTGTTACGGTCACACATAAAAATTTCTCGAAATTTTGTCTTTCATAGTGACACTAGTCTATTCATACCACGTCAGCATGACAACGGGGTATGGCCCGGAAGTAGATGTAATGAGGAAAAGGATGAAAACAAGAAAGAATGAGGACAAACCTGAAGACATCCAAGCACAAGAATGATGATACCAAGAGCTTTGTGGGTGGAGACATCAGCATTGAGCTTATTGTTTAAGACAAATCCGCATACAACACCTATTATTCCGAATATAAACCCAAATGATTGAATGCAAGTATGGAGATAAAACCAAAGTGGATCATATGGCTTTAAGTAACGGGCAACTATTACTCCAATTATCATCAAAATGCCCCATCCTAGCATGTTCAGCACTCCATGGCTCTTCCTCAGTTTTGAATATGGACTTTGTGAGCTCGATGTGCTTTGACCTGTGGAGAGAAGAACTATTTAGTTAATAATGTCTTGCCAGACTTATGTTGTTAAATAAATATTGAACACAAACAAGACGGCGCTCTATGTTGTCAAACTATCAATCTAGATCTCTAATCAAATTAATTCTTATCAGAACGTGTGGTTTAAAACTCACAAAAAACGTAGGTCTAGCAAGATAAATTACAATGCCTCTATATATCCAAACCTACCTATATAGCTTTCACATCACAATCGATTTGAATTATAGGACAAGGTTGGTGGTAGTGGTACAAATACATCATATGAAATTATTCAAGGGGTCCATGATCACTTAATTGATTCCATATAAAACAAATTCCAAACCGATTTTTGAGTTTAATAGGACCACAAAATGAGCCAAGAAGCAGATAGCCAGTTACTTTCAATGTTCCACCAATCAAACCTAAAGCCTGTTGTTAGGGTCAGCATCACAAATCCCACAACTCCTCATGTCACCAAGAAGGAAAAAAAAAAAAAAACTTTTCTTTTGTTTGGTTGATACAAGCGGATATTA